AATCAAGCAAATATTAGAAATTGACGCTAACAGGAAGTGACATTTAAATTTGTTAACAGATAAAAAATTACAAAACAACCAATTGCATCCTCGATATACCATTCAAAATAAAATTTTTCACATACTTATAATGTAAGTATACATTGATGCATTTAAAATTGTTACATAATAATATTGAATATATTAATAAAGATCTCTTATGAATTTTATTGACTTGTATTTTAATATCATTGTTGTGTTTTCATTAAGAATTAATGCCATCTATGAAATTGTCAAAGCAATCGTACTACAATTTAAAATGTACTGTAAAATATTGTAAATAGAAGTTGTTATCCCCCAAATTGTTGCATCATATAATGTTGTTTAACATGTCATTCATATTACATAGCATTATGTATATTCAATATTATGTTTACATCAGGATTACATGCTTATTATATTCCCCTAATGAGTTGTAATCGTGCATATTGGAATAAAAAAGAAGAAAAAAAAAGAAAGGAAAACTTTTTTGTGCAATTTATAGGAATAAAAATATAGACTTGAACACAAATTACAAAATGCAATGCTATAACGAAAATCATCATCAAGCTAAGCCAATTTCGAATTCTATAAAAAAAAAGAAAATATTCAGTTATGTCATATATTTTTATTATCAAATATTTTTGTACTCATTATAATCAAAAACTATTTCCGCAATTTATTCATAGATGGCTACTATAAACAACAAAATAGAATAATTTGTTTTCATGTTCGAAACAAAATGACCTTTTTAAACTTTTCTCTTGTTAAATCTTCAATTTGTTTTGCTTTTCTTCTTTTTTTTAATAAATTTACATAAAAAGGTAAATTATTTTTTTTAAACTACTTGTATTTATTTTGCATATAGCTACCGAACTATACATACAAATATTTATATAAATTTTAATAGGTATAACTTAGGGGAAATTATTGTGCAACTCTGAACAAAAAAAAATAACAAGAATCCTTTGTTAAATGAAAAATTTCTATTCCTACTTTATAATTTACTAAAAAAAAAAGTATTTACTTGCTTATTTATTTGTGAAAAGTTTTTCAAAGAAAAATTCACGAAAGCACGATAAATGACAATTCGTGATCATTTGATTGTTATTTAAATCAATAACGAGAAACAAAAAAATAGATTTTTTGTTTGTCCAATAAAAAAAATGATCCTACAATAATAATGTAGTGGTAATGGGCAAATGGGAAGAAGAAAAAGGAATTTTTGTACAAACTTATTTGCAATGGGTTAACTGAATTTCATTTTCGTATATTTATGAACTGAATTATAAAGAAAGGTTACTGCAGCTAAAAGCTATCATGAAAATTCTGATGCAATGAAATATTTTTTTAAAAATTCATATTTAAGTTTTGTATGTAAAAGAAAAAAGTTACCTATTAATAAGTTAAGAAATTTTTGACATATAATGTCAATTATAACAGAACGTCAATAATGAGATGACGTCATTTGTGACAGCTGAAAAATTTTCTCAATAGTAACAATTGCATAAATTTATTAACAATGATAATTGATCAAATTTGTTAACAATAAACAAAATTTATTAATAATGACAGATGAGTTTGACAATTATGACAAGTAGAAAATTGCTAATAATGGCAATCGAGTAAATTTGTCTTAATTGAAATAAAATTAATAATTTAGATAAAAATATCTCAAAAACATTTAAAAATTTATTCATTTAGATTAAAACTTTGTCGGATGATTCCAAAGCTACATTAGCAGTTTATATCAGATTTTATTTTAACTTAATAGAAAGCTGAGACCGATGTCAAAACTTGAATTTTACGGATTAGTTGTTAAAATATTCAAAAATCATTTTCTTTCGGAGAAATTCCGATAAATACTTAAAGAACTTTAAACAAAAAATTTGTCGATTTTACAAAAAATCGAAAAACATATTTCTCTCCTTTACTCTTTCTTTGATATTCAAAATTTGATGTGGGTGGGGAACAAAAAAAAAAACAAATACACGATTTTTTTATGTTTTCCTTGACGTTTTCAGAAAAAGAGATTAAATTCATTGTTTAATATTTCAAAAAAAGAAATTGAATTCAGAATTAATACTGATTGTGTTTTCTTTTGTTTCTTATTATAAAAATTAAATGATTTGAGAAGGAAGACGGCAATTTTATAAATTGAAAACTAACAAAAAAGGAAAATATTTGCATGCAAATTTAAAGAACAAATTTTTCTAATTTATAACGAACGCTTCTGTTTTATCTTAAATTAATTTTGATTAAAAAAATTGTATTTTCTTAGAATTCACTTGAATAATTTGCTTTTAAAAAATTTTCAAATAATTTTTTTTTTTAACAAAATCAATCTTAATATAAGTAATGCTGAATGAAATAATTTAAAGCAAGTATTTTAAATAAAAGAAAATTCACTTGCATTGTTGAGTGGAGAAAAGGCACTGGATACATTTCTATTAAGTGAATTGAGTAAAAAATGAAGCTAACAACATCTTGTTTCATTTCTTTGTTAGTTTTCGTTATTGAAAGTGAAGAATTCAGGAATTTAAATTATCTATAATTACCGTGGGTGAGCGGGACTATTTAAATTTTAGGTTTTAATATCTAAAGTTAACGCCTTTTGAAAATCCCTAAAAGTATGCAATTTAATTACAACATTTAAATTTTCTTGTGTACACAACTACATACAACAATTCGAAAAAAATTGTTTTGAGTTATTACATTTAAGCCTGTATTCACACGTGTCTGTATTCATAGAATGTGCAATATATAAGCAATAAGTAACGGGACAAGATCTCAAAATACTTATTTCTTAAATGCTTTTGCTTATACATCTAGTCATTATTAATTTTCTTACATTTCTTACATATTTATTCGTACATAAATCGCACATACATATAGAATTAAGTTATAAAAAGAAAAAAGAAATAGTTTTTTTAATTTAATAGGAGTAATCATATAAAAATCAGCTTATTCTAAGACAGACCACAAAGTTGATTTTTCTTTAAATTGATGTCAATAATTGGTTTGACCCTGTTTTACTTTGGAAAATTGCTTCTTAAATATTAAAAACATTAGAAATTTCTTGATTACAAATTAATGACGGAAGAATGAAATAGGAAGGGATGACCTATGCTTTTGCTGACATATTTTTTTTTTTCAAATTAGAAAATTACGCAAGGTCGTTAAGAGTTTTTCTTATATTATAAATATAAGTAAGCGAAATTAAGATCTAGATCGCCGAGATAATTACATTTGTATGTAAAATTTATTTAGGTACAAATTATGTACCTAAATTTGTATGTTTTTGAGGTGTAGATAGAATCTATAGCTGTATTTGTGAAATTTGCAAAATTTTTATGAAAAATTTTCATTTTAAAGCGTTTAGAATATTTTTTCTTTGAAATTTTAAAACAATTGAATTTTAAAGAAAAAATTTTACAATTGGGTAAACAAAAAAGATAAAAGTGATAATGATTTGTGAATTGGGTTTACCTAAAAACCATTTTATGATTAAACTAAATGAGATTACAAGTTATTTAGGTGTTTTTTTTAGCTACCAATTTCCAGTTTAGTATTTAAATAGAGAAAATTTTGATTGGCTAAAGCAAACGGAAGTTGTTTTTATCTATTTGGAAATTTTTCACATATTTGTAGAATTTTCTTTTTTATACTGAAATATTTTTGTTTAATCTGCAAGTAATCTAGGCTAAGTTTTATTTAAATATTTGATTACATTACCGTTTGATTACTAAAAATAAAATAAATAGTGAAAGGTGCTCTAATTTTATAGTAATAAATTCGGTTTACTGTATTAAAATAACAAAAAAAAAATCTTAATTATTGCATATATTTAGGAGGAGAACAAAGAAATATTGACATAATGAATGAAAATTACTTTTAATTAGGTGAGTAAATTATAATTTTTTCGAGATATTTTACAATTAATTTTTCGCTTTCACAGACATTTGGAACAGCTTACAGTTTCGGAAAAAATAAAACTTTTTCTGATTTGAAAAACATTTCTTAATTTGTAAAAACTATTAAAATTTCACATTTCAACAAACATACCGTATAAAAAAAACACGATATTAAAAATTTGGTTTTAGGTTAACGGTTAATTTCAATGGGCATTTTATAATTGTGTTCTTTGCTAATTGTTCTTATAATTGTGTTTAGCATTGCCTTTATTTTTCCTATATAATCTGTCTATCCTATCCTATATAATCTGTTTTCTGTTAAGTACTAATATTAACTCAGTAGTTTAACCCATACGTACTATTACCAATATATTTCATATAAAATGTTGATTTTTAAACTAATTCAAAATTGTATGAACTATTTAGTTCCAAATATATTCAATTTCAAGTACACATTACAATTAAATATGGTCATATCTTCTAAATCTACTTAAATACTCTGAATTCCCATACGTTTTTTTTTTCTTAAGAAATATTTCGAACTCTTAACTGTGATTTTATATATAGGTGTTGAAATATTTTAATTATTTTATATGACACCTTCTATGTTGTAATTTATAATATTAAAATTCATCAGATGATTTTTATTATAGCATTTCACAAATATACATAGAGTCATTAAGTGACAATATATAATAAGTGATACCCTAATTTTCGAAGAGAACAATATGGAATTCGTATATATATATATCAAGTTTGAAATCATCCTTGTGTAACCATATTTGTAATTGTACATAATATTACAAAATTAACGAGAATCATGTTATTTTTCAAGTTGATTGTCATTGTTTTAGGTCATCTCCAATTAAAAAGGAATTTATTATAAGCACTCATCGTAAATACATCAGAGCAGTTGTGAAGAAAAAAAAATTATTTATTTTTTCTTTTCTTTAATTTTATTTTTATGTCTTCATTATTTCATTTCATCTTTCAATTCGCATTATTTCAATATTTATAGATTATGCACCTATCTATGTAAGTATAATTATATCACCTAAATTCACTTACCCTCTTATGTGATGTAACTGCAGAGCTGTCACCATCTGTAAGGAGAAAATAAAAATGATCAAGTTAATATTAAACATGAATGTTTTTTTTTTTAATTTTTATTTTAAAAATGAAAGAGTGTAAGTGTTTAGTGAAGTAGTAAATAATGATGATGAAATTGTTTTAAGTAGTGTGTAAGAAAAAAACAGAAGACATCAATCATCAATATTGAAGTTATTATTATAATTTTTGCAATATTTGATTTTTTTTAAATTTTAAATTTGTTTTATGTAATAAATTTAATTAGGCTCTTAGGAGAGTATGGGATACGAGTTGGTGACGTTAGGTCCGATACTTTATGGTGTCCTATATAAATTGGTGGATGGATTAGAATGTTATTGTTTAACGAAGGTAGAAATGGAGTTCCGGAGGGTTATAAAATATGGGTGAACCGGCACGAATGGAGCAACTATACGAGGGTACATATGTTGGAGTGCTTGCAGGTGATTTAGAATTACATGTATGGACTACATTGCCTGATTTTTTATGCAGACGTTCTAGTGAGTTTTAAAGCTATAATATTAGCAGTCACTAGACTAGTCGGCGGGGAGTATGTGATTTCGTTTTTGAATAAAAGATCAATAAGGGTCTTTGTGTACCATTCTTCGACAGTTTTAGGTAAGCGGTATAAAGACCCTACTAGACCACAATGCCCTGAATACAGAATACGCGTGTACCTCTAAAAGATTTAAGGAACATAACAGAGAACGAAACTTGGTAGAGGAGAGACATGATACATTTGGACATAAGTGTTCACATCTTGAATAAGGCTAGAAGAGGACAGAGCGTTTACGCGTGTGGCCGGTTTCTGCCATTAAATTTTTTCCATCAGGAAATCGATACAATGAAATAATTTGTATTTACATACATATCTTCTGGAATATTCGATTGTACTCTATGATAAATTAATTCTGCTTTAAAATGTACGAGATCTCATATATGTACATATGTATGTGTAAAATTCTCAGTGCTTACTTTTAGAACTTTTCAGATATTTTTCAAAGAATTTGAATTACATAACAATATTTAAACAGATTTTGATATTTGAATATTGTTACAATTTTTTGTTTTATAACCTGACATTGTTTGCTATATTTAAAAGCTGTACAAACAGATTGCAACCACGTAAAGCTACTTTAATTAAGATATTATAAAAAAAACACAATATTTCTGCTTGGTTACAACATAGAGTCTCTTAATATAGTAAAAATACTTCTGTTTTCAATATTTACAATGCAATTTCATTTCAAAATTAAAAAAAAAATTAATTACAGTAAACGCTTTTAATATTTTGAGTAAATAATCTGATATGCGATGAGAATTACAATTATTAAATCGGACATTTTGTTAAACAATAAAAAACAGAAATTGACAAACCCGATTTGAATTTTTTACATTATTATTTTGACAAAAACAAAAAATACTCATACAGTTTGGTAAAATTTCATTTACAACTCATTAAAAAAAATGTCAAAACGATAAAAGATAAATTTTCATAAAAATAATTTTTTTTTTTTCTTAAATCATAATTGAATACATTAATGCCATTGTTGCTCTGTTACTGTTATTGCCATTGTTGCTGTTTATTATTTATTATCGAATATCAAAATAAAATGACTTTTATTTTTTGATTCAATCAGAAAAAAAGAAACAACTCATTCCAACAGACAAGTTCAAATTTCAGAAGTTCAAAGTCATTTAGATAAATAAACGTGTGTGTACCTACACATACGAATTGCTACGAACTTTTACGAACTTTGTAATTTTGTTGATTTTTAATAATATTGTAGAAATATATGAGGTCATAATAATGTATATGTGCAGGTAAAATATATTGTGATTCGCAGTTATTTTGTATTGATTGTAATGACTTTATTACAAGCATAATTTTGAATATTGAAGGTTTTAAATTACATTAACAAAGTATCTTTCAGTTTTCTATAAAGTTAAAAGATAAAAAAAAAGCGCAGGCATTCTGAAATAATTTAATTTTTTAAATTTTAAAATTTACATGAAAAATATGATAATAGATGTTATAAATGCGTCAAGACGCTTTTGATGTCAGGCGTTTTTTTGTTTTTTTTTTCTTCTTTTTGACATAAAATTTTATAATAGTGGGTGCTGCTGCGATTATAAGAGAAGTGTAAATTATAAACAAAACTAAAATATTTGAATATTTAATTGTGAATAATTAAATATGGTTAAAAAAATTTCAGTTTGATTTTTTTTTTGTTATAAACATTAAAGTGTGTGTTAATTATGGATAATTTGCATTTTTAACATATTGCGTATGGGCTGCGTTCTCTTCAACTCGATAACATTTTGAAATTTTTTAAAATAACATAAAAATTCAAATTTTAATCAAAATATTTTTATTATTTATTAAATTTATTTGGATTATTTTTAGCGTTCTTTAAATTCGAGTGTGTTCGTGATGTGACCAGGTTGTATTGACATGCAGTGTTGACGTTTATCAGGGATAATTGAAGGTAAAACATATGTTATATGGGAATGACAATCAAAAAATCTTATAGATCTAAAGAGATCAATTTAAGTAAGTACATCACAGTAAAATGTATTCCTCCAAAAGTACCAATTCCTAGCTTCAAACCAAATACATTATACAGAATTACATAAGCATTTTAGTAATTATCAAATAAGTTATTATTCCATTCATTGCAAATTCAATTTATTGTTAATTTGAAAACTATTTTGCATACTTCAAACAATATTATTGTTATATTTAAAATTGGCATGAACAGTGTAAATAATTTATTTTTCTACATTGTACTTTTAATTGTAATTGAATATGGTCATTAAGATAAGAGTTTTTAATGCGATACAAAATTAAAATAAAACATATTTCAGGGAATTCACAAGCACTCCTAAAATAGACTTTTTACATGGAGTTGTAGATTATCATTTAAAAGTTGTAAAATATTAAAATTAGGCATGTATGTAGTTATTCTACAAAATGAAAAGTTTTTGAAGACTCATACAGCAAATGAATCATATTTTAAAATTTCTTACTAAAAACTAAAAAAAAAAAATTTTTATTACTAATTGAGAATTTAATAGCTTGATAAAAAAAAGTAGCCGACTTCTTTAGATATTCATAAATCAATTGTGTACATATAAATTTTGTTTGTAAAATGACATAATCATAAACTCAGATAACTTATGTATTTATAAATTGGGTTGATTTATTATTAAAAATAATTCTTTGAAATTTTAGAATTTCTCATTAAAAATATATTTTTGTTCCATGTTAGTGCCTGGTTATTAATATTCCCTTAATTAAATTGAAATTCATTTTATTATTTATAGTAAAATATTAAATTTGAGCTTGCGTAATTTCTAATACATTATCTATACATGTGATTTTATTTTGCTTAAACATCAAGAGCAAATTTTATTTTAAAAAAAATTCTTAATTAATTGCTTGACTTTAAGTTTATTTCAAATTTCCTGTTAAAAATATTGAAGAGTTCTATGAAAATATTTTATTATTTTTAAATCAATATTTTCAATTTTATTTATTACCGAGTATTCCTATTGAATTCTTTAATGTAATGAAAGTTCATTCCACTTTAATAAAATCATTTGTAGCTATTTATTTTTCTCTATGCGTTCAAATAAATTACAACAAAAGAAAATTAATTAAATTCTTGTTATTGAATTTACGTTTAGGTCATGTCATCATTTTTTTTATTATAAACGATCAGTATTGGTGTAATTGGTATGTACTACTTTTATTAAAGTTACTGACATCTTTTATTGATTGCAATTTTATTCACAATATTTCTCTTTGATTTAATTTTAATTTTTTCCTCAATATATTTATGATTTTTTTTTCTCTTTCAATAATTTAAAGAAATTTTTAAAGAAATATTGTATTAGGAATTGTCAACTAAGTTATTTTATTACATTTAAGTATGTTGAAAATTTTGCTAACGATATAAATACATATACGTACTCGTATACATTATAAAGATTTAATAAAAATTATAGATCTTAGTTAGAATATTGCATTTAAAAGAAAAATTTTTAACACATTTATGATTTACATAATCAAGAACAACTAAAAATTTCAATGTAATCAAATTGAATTGTTTTCAGAGGTGTGGTGAAAATGCTAACTCTGTGGTGAGTATATGATATGTGTTGAATATCGTGTATTTATTAATTTCATAGTTAACAACTATATTTGGAACGAGTTGAAGTTATTTAAGAAGTGTGGTGAATATCTTCGATTTATGGTGAGTAATAAATCGTAGGCAAAAGGAGTGTGGGAAGACTACCGTTAACATGGAAAGGATAAGTCCCAAAGGAATTGGTTGATTTAAAATAAAAAAATTTCAGAAATGAAAACAAAGATTCAAAATACAGTTTGCTGGAGAAACTTTGTGGAAGCTTCCAAATAAGTAGAGTGAAGCAGGAAAATAAAAATGGTGAGTATTGGCCACAAATCGTGAAATACGGTCGATTTATCATTTTAATGCGCAGTTATATGTAGGTCTGAATTGGGCCTAACTAACTTAAGAAATATGGTGAAAGTTTAAACTTATTAGAAATTTTTTCATTCAAAAGCGCATAGACGGTTTTTTTTTCTAATTAGACGGACACAATATTAAAAAAAAAATGATTTTGTTATGAAATTAATAAAACGTTCTACTGTTTGCAATTTTTCTTTTTAAGTATGTTAAAGCGTGTTTTGTCTTTCCTACTATATTAAGTATAATAATATTATCAAGAGGTTTGATGACACGCTGTGTGACATTCAATTTTTTTGTTTTATTATTGACTGTTTTTTTTTTCTTTATTCAATTTACGTTCAATATGCTCTTATCTAATTATATTCTTATATTGCGGAATAATAATATTCCATTTTATATAGTGAAAAGTATAGAAGAACAAGAAAAAGAGAAAAAAATAAAATAAAATAAATAATTATCACGCAATCACTTTTAATTGATTTTTTCATCCATCTTATACG